TGCTGACTATTTATTGAGAAACGGTGTGTACCAGACGGGTACAATTATGAATAACAGACTTGGAGCAGCAGGGAAAAAAATCAATCGTGATAAAGATATTCGACGTGGAGATTGGGATGAAAGAGTGAGAGAAGACAATGAAATGTGCATAGTGAGATGGAAAGACAATAAATGTGTCACTTTGCTCTCAACGTGTGTCGGTAGTGAACCTCAAAACACTTGTCTTAGGTGGTCGAAAGACGAAAAATGCAAAATTACTGTTCCACAACCTGCCAACCATTTAAAATATATCAGGTCTGAAGAGGATAAAGCTAAGCTTTGGCATTTCATTTCACCCTAGTGTTTCAGTGTAAGAAGCATGCTATTTAAGTCAAAGAGGAAGAAAGATATGCAATGCTCGAATCATAGTGCTATCTTCAAATTTGACGATGTTGGTAGAGCGAAATTTATGAAATACCTTTTTCATCATCATCTTAAACACCAAGGTTTATCAATCAAAAAATATCAAACTCTATTTTAAATGTTTCTACTGAGAGGAGGTTTCGATGAAAAAGAATAAGTGATGCCAATTGAAAATTCTATAACTGCAACAAATACTATGAGCGCTTGATGATGCTTGTCTACATGTTATAATTTTTTATTAAGATGTTAACTCTTTTACTATATCTCAACAAAGAATAAAAACACAAATCAACACTATAATAAAGGCATTGCAGAAAGACTATTCAAATCGAAAGATTTCTCAAAAAATAATAAAGATTTATACATTTAATTTTCAGAAAAAAAGTTATAGTTTTTGAACTTAATTACTATTGTAAAAAAAATTCTTGTACAACCTGAAATAGAGAAACATTCTAAATTATTTACCTTCTTGAGGTGGTAATCCCTTCAGATCAGGAAAGCCTTTTGTTCCCGAAAGTTCTGAGATTACTTTTGGCAGGTTTGCAAGTGTTACTTCAGATGGAGATGGTAAATGGGAAACCTGAGCATTAGGGCACGAATTTGTTGAAGAGGAATGGCTAGCAGAGTTTTGCAGTCTGTTATGAGTAGCAGACTCTGTTCTTGATGAGTGAGAATCACTATTATCAATCGAATTATCTAGTGATTCTTGGGAATGAGCATCTGAAAAGTTAACGCTATCTATTAAAGATAGAGGAATCTTATTTCTTAATTTTAATTAAATTAAAGTAATATTTTAAAATTAAATTATGTGATATTTATAATTATTATTAAAATAATCTCTCAGGATTGCCATTTAAATCTTGAAAATAAATTCCCTGTACATATTAAATGCAATATATTAAGAGGAAACACAACAATTACTGTGCTCTTTTGTGACCTATATTGGGCTAACTATATTTATTAGTTTTAATTGCTCTTAAAAAATGGTCACCATTTTTTAAAAGACGAAAATAAGAAAAAAAATTCTCTGTATTTTCCCAGTTTGTAGGGGGGGGAATCGATATTCCCTGTTATTTTAGGTGATTTTTAAATTCCCTATATTTTCCAGGTTTTCCCTATTCTCCCTGTGCAGTGGCAACCCTGTATCTATAAAAGATATCAAAAGAATGACAGAATTTATCACAATCAAGCTATTTATCTCATAGATTTTGCTCTTTAGTACAAAATTGTCAAAAGTTTGTTCTTTTAAAATTTTTAGATAATACAAGTGAAATACCGATTCTTGGTAAAAGGCAATAAAATAATTATAATTTCTTTTTATTATAATTTGTTGCCCTTTCCAGATACTTTACATAATAAAATTACAGAAACATCTTTAGAGAATTTCCAGTCATCAAAATAAAGTTAACTATACTTATTGTGTATTGTTCGGCACTAAAAATTATAATACTGATCACGGCCAACTTAAGCAATTTCTCCCATAAATCTTGCTCTTTAGCAAATATTTTGTTTATTTCAATGACTTAATTTAGTTTTATGGAAATAAGTTTCAAGTGCAATGATCAACAAAATAAACATGTGATTTCTGATAATTAAAATACTAATTCACGACAGAGCCCTCGCAAACAATCCATGTTGATCATTAAGCCTACTTCGCACAACAAATAAAAAATTATTAAAGATCATGCAATAAATTTGATCAAATTGAACTAGAAGTTAGTAAACATAGCTTGTTTTTTCTTTTAAATAATTGAAAGAGAAAGCGTCAGCAATTTAATTTGCAATGCCAAATCTAATTGTAATGTTAATTTTTATCCTAATATTAATTAATTTCTAAATGAAATATTAATAACTCCTGAAAAAAATATTCAAATGATTCTCAAAATTGAAGGCTAAACTTTCCCTTAAAACCCACTGTTCAAATTTGAGGACACTAGTCTAAATATTTCAGAAGAGACAAACTCTTCCTTTAGTTATTACATAGTCTTAACTTACTTTTACTACCTCCAGCACCACCAAGTCGTTCATGACTCCTATCTTTGGGACGTGAGGTTGTATCATACTGAAGCCTGCTTAAATTTTGATGTCTGAAATTAAAAATATGATGAGAGAATTTTACATAGAATAACAATGTAACTATATATCAAGTTTAGTAATTTAAAGTAGTATATTAAGAAAAAAGTTAAACATGGTTATTAAACTTAAAAAAGTCAAAGAAGAAAACAATTTCAATTAACTTTTAACTATCAAGATTTCAATAGGTAGATTAAAGAAGCACAGAAAATTATAGTTTCATTTTATTTTACCTAATTTTGAAAAAGAAATTAAATTTAAAATACAACAAACAAACACTTTCCATACTAGCCAACATTGGAGAAATAATATAACGATGATTTTACTAGCGACATTTTTTATGCTACGAGTAAAGTTTCGATACATCATGCAAATCAAAATTGGAAAAAATATAAGCACTTACATTTAGCGAAGTAAAAAATATGTATATAAATCTTAATCTAAAGAAGACTTTTTCAAACCATTATTTATAATACTTAAACCATAAACACTCAACAAACTGCAGTATTGGCAATAGCACCATCTGTTGAGGAATAAGATAAATATTTTTGTCTTCAGCAAATATTTAATCACCAATTGTTTTTTTTTTTAATTTCTTCAACAGATACGAAGAAACTTGAGAATATATGGGTAAACAGGACATAGTCACAAAATACAGGAGTCATTGTTAAAAAATAGGAGACTTGGTAGTTATGACTTTCTATCTGTAATTGTTTAGACTCTTTAAAAATAACTTATTAACAATTTAAAAGACAATACATTCAGAGAAATATTACGAATCAAAACGTACGAATAACCAAACAAATGAGAAAACCAAATAATGACATACCTTTCCCATTCAATCAATTCTTTAGGTTTTTCCCATTGAGAAACTTCTGTTTTACAATTATAATAATATTTTTTCCCTGAAGAACTTATATGTTCGGACCAATCAATGACTGGAAGTCTTTTTTCAGCATCCTGAAAAAAAATATATGCATATATTTTAGTGATATGCACACTTTTAAAATGAATATTTGTTTCTGGATATGATAATCACAGTTGATAAACTCTAAAAAAATCTATTTCATCATTCAAAATCATTTACTTGCATGTAAATATGAGGGAAATTGTCAGAACCAGATCATTAAATGAACAAATATTGAAAGAAATTAAAATAAAGGTCTTAAACAATGTTCTTCCATAACAATCTGCTTCAGTTTATGATAAAAAAAAATGACAGCTATTTCATTAACTCATAAGGTCATTAGCTTAAGTTAATCATTTCATCATAGAAAAACTTGATGTCAGCTTAGAATTTAATAAACTTTTATAAGATGAAGAAAATAAGTACATACAAACCTTTTAGGAACATAAAGCAAGGTAAATAAATAGCAAATATAAAAATTTAAACAGGTTAAATACACTGCATTTAAATATATTATTCTTTGAGATTTAGTGTGCATGTGCATTTGAGAAGTCTAAAATTTATAATTTAAATCTTTTAAAAAATTTTTAGTTGCCAATTCATAATATCTGTTACTCTTTAAAAATGTAAGTCACAGGAAAAATTTAAAAAGATAGCAATTAACACTATACTTATTAAATCTGACATTTTTTTAAACCAACATATGGTGATTTTAAGTAAGATGTGAAAATAAACTATACAACAGACAAAAGGAAAATATATCAAATCAAATCTAAAAGGTTTATAAATTTAAACAATATAGATTTTTAAACTTATTTTATTGTAAATTAAAGTATTAATAAAATATAAAATTTTTGCAGTTTTACTTTCAATTGGTTCCCTTAAAGTTTCAGTTTATTTAATTTTCCTGGGAAATAATATCAGCTAACATAAAACATACTTCTCTGTGAAGAATACAATAGAAGCAATAGACACTTCCAATTTTAATTTGATAAGGATTAGTTTAGCGTTAAATATTATTTTTGAGGGAAGATGAGTCTATCTCGAAAGATAATACAACGAACTTTTTATAGGATGTGGCATAATTACTACCATTAAAAGCACTTTTAAAAACTGAAATTAATAAAAAGAATTAAAGGTAGTTAATGAGACTCAAATATTATCAACTAATACCATGCCACAAATGTCCATAGTGAAGAATCCATAACTAAAAATTTCAGAAAGTATGAATTAGGAAAATTGAAGTTAAAAAAGGAAGATTTCACCAAAATAGGAAGATTTTATACACGACATAAATCTCCACATTTGAAGCAGTTTAAAAATTTCTTTAACAATGTTTTTTCTTCTTCTTTTTTAATAATTTACCACAGGATATTGAACAGAAAAAAATATTTGCTATACAGAAACTACCTTCAGTGAATTTAAATTTTACCGAGAATTATTTCTGCCAAATTGGAAAATTAGGTTATTTTTTTATAAAGTACTTTCTGTAATAGTGCTTAATTAGTCTCAACAAACTTTAAAAATAATAATTTAATGAAGTCCTTCTGATGGGGTAGAGTTATTCCTATCTACCCCATTGTTTACAATGCATTAATATTTCACGATCAACGAATGTATGAATTTATTACAGGTGCATAAGTCGACACCCTAATTTTGATAGAATTTTAGGAGTTAGAAAACTCAAATTATGCATCGAGATATGGAATAAACAAAATGGTATAAAAAGAAAAAATGTAAACAATTTTTGATAAAGAGGAGTTTTGTTTCCAATTGGAAGATCGTAAAACAGGTCTAAAATTTGGAAGTCTTCTGTCAAAAGCGAAAAAGTTAGAAGGTATGAGAATCTATTACTTCCATATTAGAGGGTGCGTAGCAAATTTTTCAATAAATAATAAGTACCCTTTAAGCACTCATAAATAGCATAGGAGTGCACGAAACCTTCCAGCCAAATGCAGCTCGGTGTATGCACATGCGGATTCGCAAGTATTTCATCAAACATATAAAAATGATTAGCGCTTTTACATACAAAAATGGATTGTGGTTGAATGAATTGAAAATTTTTTAAAAGGAACAACATGAAAATCACACTTTTTGCGTAATTCGTGGCAAAAATCGACATGGTAAAGAAGAAGAAAAAAAAAAAAAAAACATTTTGCAAAAGGGGAAATTAAGCACTTTTCAAAAGACGAAAATAAGCACCTTTTCTGTAAAACTACTTACATTTCCAAAACAAGACTTATCAAATTCAATTAAAATTTTAGAAACATTCAGATAAAAGAATTTTTTAAATTTTAATTACCTCATTAGCATTCCTATCATGATTGCTATGGTACCTTTCAGATGAACCTTCTCTTTCAGAGGAAGACTGAGACTTCAAATCTTTATTTAATTTAGATTCATTTCTCACAATAGGAGATTTATTGGAATCTGAAATATTGTATAAAATTCTTTTTAAAACTTTCAGATTTTCTTAATATTTCATGCATGGTTTGTTGATTTAAATCAACTAATTTTATATATA